ATTATTTACAATCCCGTTATTTATTCTGCCTGTCTTAGTTTGTATGCTATTACTACTGGCTAATTTATTTCATAATGTCGTATCAGTTTATCAGAAGATGATTATTTTATAATCACTCACTTTCATTGAAATTAAACTTCAATGAAATCTCGACATGCATCATACATACTGAACGTATGGGATAAATTTTAATACAGAAAAAGTCAATGACCTCTTTCAGAAACTGCGCTGTTCTTTCAAAGAATTTCCGAGAAAGAAATGATTCAGTATATAGAAGAGAAAAATGGCGTTGTAAGTGTATACACCTCCGTTTTATATTTTTAGCTGCTTTGTGAAATCTATGTGGATGATCTAGAAGCATTCAGAATTCAGAAGCTCAGAAAATGTGTGAGTTCCGGAACGGGTTACGCAAAATATGAATCTCCTCATTATGTTGTTTTTTTTTTTTTTTTGGAAAATCTTCAAAATACGTGAATATTTTTCTTAAGAAGAAATCACCATGTCTGTTGTTGGGGACATTGAATATAAACATTACAAGAATTTACTGAGAGATAAGGTTTATGAATGGTTATTTAAAATGATCTAGGTTATACCTAATACGTGGTAGCCTGACTGTACTGTAAAGTTGTACGAATTCGTTTTAAATTATTACTTGAATATATATTTTAATTATTCAAAACACTTTGAAGTGTACACCAGACAAGGTTTCAGTATCAAGTAGAGTAGAAATACCATTATGGTAGCTTGATAAAGAATTTTGCATTTTCATTTGTAAATTTTATTGCTTTCAAGATTCAACTGTCTACATACTAACGGCAGTCGTTTGAAGCGAATTCCGTTAATCCCTAAGATTTGGTATGGGCTCGTTCACAAGATACCAGGCTGCTCGTGAAACTTGTGGATTCGTGGAAAAGGCAGAAGGATTTTAATAACTTTCGAGTTGATTGACAATGTTGTAGGATGGTAATATATTTAAGTTCACAGATAAGACGGAAGCTACACTGAGAGCATTTTTGGATTTGCTGAAAATTTTTCACGCTAACGTGAGTGGACAAAAAATATTTTTTTTTAATACAAATTCTTGTTCAGACGTTGCTAAAATTCTTTCATTTTTAGTCGATTAAGATTTCGAGAAGATAATTTATTTTTTGTTTAATATTATTAATTACATATGATATATATGTATATGTTAAGCTCGTAATAAAAGATAAGGTTTTATGACTTTTGATGGGATAAGACTGAGAAACATAAGTTTGTATTTAACACTGTTCAGGTGGGATTAGGCACGTCGGGAGCTTATACATTCTGAGGTATGGGACCTTAAGTTATACGTTCGTACCCGGAACCTGCCTAAAGAAGTAGCTGGGATGAAGGACGTAAGAAGAGGGAAAAGTCAAATTATGTATTCGATCAATGCTGTTGGCTATTTCTCTACCTGTTCATCAATGTTTTCTAATACACAGGATATGCGATTTATAGTAGCATACTAATACAATTAAATTCGGTGACTTGACTTTAAAGTCTGACTTTCTCCACTGAGCGTTGACTGGCTTCTTTGTGTATTTTTTGTGGCAATAAATGTTGAAAGTTAAATAGGGTATATTGTACTAGAATGTCATCCGAATACACAACGTTAGGGTTAATGACATTACATAGTTCTTTTGTAGCTCCGAACGACTTAAATTATTAATGATGTAATTTTATTTTAGAAAGCAGATATTATGGGCAGCTAATTTGAAACAATATTTTGAAGTACCTCTGATTTGAAGCCGGTGTGAATAAAAGGAAGTCATTAAGTAAGCATTCTGGTCTTGAATTTCTTGATGCTAAGAAGGTTCCCACCATTTGTCCAGCTGCGTGATTCTTGATGTGGGTATAAAACCAGGTCAAACCAGATTACGATAAAATTACCTCTTTTTCAGTCAAATTCCTTGGTAATTATTAGAAAATAACGAACGTATTAGGAACATAAATTATTATTAATATGCCTAATCATGTTGCTTGTTAGTGCTGTATTAACCGGATAGAAAGATTCTTTATGACTTAAAATCAATTTAGAGACGCAATTTGAAACTTTGATTTTGTTTATCTTGACAAATATTTTGTTGCTGTTTTGTAAAAATCTCTTACGCAATCGTAGTAGTTAAAGGACTAAGAATCCGCAAAATAAATCCTCACCTCTGAAATAGGCCATTACACTGTAAAAGTTCAGTCTCGGTCAGAACTTCAGAAATTTGATCCTAGATCCATTTTGATAATTTATCAAATATTTTATTAGGATTATTACGTAGTCTCCTTAAATTACGTAATCCAAACAACATCTGAGGGCGTTTATTTTCCCCTTGCGCTCTGCATGGCCTACCAATTCAATTATTCGCCTGTACAGTAGGTTTACTATGTGAAGGGCAGATCTTAAAATTGTGAAGTACTTAATAATTTGGTATTCCATATTGACCAGAAAGACACTTAAAAACCTAACGTACTGCAAACGATTTTGGATTTTTGTTACATTTGAATTTATTGTATACAGTTTGTGTCCATAAACATATTTCTGGCTGTAACAGTGTAAAATATGGTAGTAGAAGGCTTTAGTCGATTGATAATTCGCAGGTGATTGGAATATTGGAACCCACCACTTTCTGTTTATAATATTAAAACCTACAATTTTGCTTTGAAAATAGTTTGTTTTGAAAATATTCTGTGACTTTCTGCAGTGACGAGTCAACGAAAAACTATGTATAAATAGTCTCCTGATCCATCTCACATTTTCTCCCTTATCTGGTGTTAGATGCACGCAATATAGTACAGTACAAACGAGTTAACACTGAAACGGGAAAAAAATGTTATCTGATTTAACGTGTTTGGAATCTTTTTCTTGTCACATATTTTTACATCGGAATATATAAATAAGTTTGTATAAAATTATAATTTTGCTGTCGTATAGAAAAAAGTGGAATTTTGATGAAGGGGTATGACGTAATAAATATGATTTTTCGGAGGAGCTTCATACATTTGTGATTTTAGATAAAAATTTAATTTCGTTTTAAAATGATTTGTGGCGCCTTATAGTATGTGGTTACCAACGTTTCAAAGGAACGTATCGCCTTCATCTTCAGGGTAAAGTAAATATAGGATTCATCTTTTCATTAGGATTCATATCAAATAATACTTAACCCATGTCAATGGGGTAGAATCCTTAAAACGAGTCACCTCTGTTTAAGAAATGCTTCTTTTTATTAAATCTTAAAATTTTATAGCACCCTGCCAAGTTATTCTATCTTGCGCCAGTATAATCCAGTCTCTTTTCCCCTCAGCCGAGATTCATTTTCCTTAGGGGTCATTTTAATATTGTCTTGTAATATATGCCTAAGTTTTTAAGCAGTTTGTAATCTTCACACACTAGAATTAAAAAGCTTACATTATGTTCTCACTTTTGTTTAAGAATAAAGGATACAGACTCATTCAACAGCCTACTTTATTACACCTCAGATCATTTTATGAAAAGAAAAATAACGTATTGGGTTATACTGAACTAAATCTCGGTCGTTTTTGTCAGTCACACCTACGCAGACAAAATTTGTATTGGTAGGAGCCCTTTGTTGTTTTGTGCAGAAGAAAATAGCATCGCTCAGCAAGGAAGAAAATGCATTTATATGCAGACAATTAGACGCATTCACTGACGTAAGAACTTTTCTTGCATGCACTATTTGTGACACGTTTGAACGATGATGAACTAAAAGTGGTCGGGAAAATCCCTAGCAGACAATAGGGAAACCCATACTGTGGTAATCATGGCTTTCCCGACTCATTAGTGCATCGAAATCCACGTCTTTTTGAAGGTCGCAATCAACAGTGTGACTTATAAGTCATTCTAACAAGATGGCGAAGTGAATTAGGCCTACGGTATTTATAAAAGATATTGAAATTTCTTTACGTAAGCACAAAACAGATTTAACATACGTGTAACCTTCATAACATGTAAATAAAATGAGTCCAGTCTAAATACACGATAAACTATAACTAACTTCATAAATAGTATTAAAAATATATTAAAATTGGCCGTCAATCACAATATAAGATAATTAAAAGATTAAAATATCATTTTACGTTCCGTATCGAGTACTCGATTTACATGTGGAACATTTACGACATGTTTCGGCTATATATAGCCATCATCAGGTGTTATGTTATAAACTTTTTAACTGAATTACTGATTTTTTTTCAGTAATTTTCGTTTTAAGTTTATATATTGATATAAAAAGTTTCATCTCATACTGTGCACACTTTTCGTGTTTCTTGAGGATAATTCGATTATAAAAATAAAGGCGAAGAGTAAACATTTCTGTTGACTGTGTGATTTTTTCGTGTTCGAATACAATTTTGTGTATTTAACACAATACGAACGGCTGCATGTGCCAAACATTTCTTAATAAACAATAAGTGTTGTTTGTGCATCTTTATAAGAAGACTGCGAATTACCCAACCACGTGCTTAGTCACATAAAGGCACATCCATTGCGTTAGGCTGTTCTGCAGTTTTGCGAGTCGAATGTCAAGGCCGACTGCCATGTTGAGAATTCTGGTCCTACGGCTCTGTTAAATAAAGTACAAGCCTTCCTCAAAGTACTAATGACTTCATAATTAGACACTTAAAAACTGTAGTGAAGTAATTTCAAATGAAGAGTGAGTTCTCGTTAGGATTAGTGTCCAAATGCATTCTGTACGATTTGGTCTCTCTTAAATTGTCTTTCGTTAGGGACAGGAGATCTTACACTGCAGAAAGTTATGTACACACTCATTTAGGGTGATGGAAGGGTTACTGCAGGAAAATACGTAGGTAAACTTACGCCACTCAGTTGGGAACTTCGCTATGTACGTCTATGTTATGTACAAATTACGTAATGTTTACCCCTGAAATGTTAATTTTAAACCACGTCGATTGATGTCTGTATACGGGAATATTACAGCTACTAACATAAGCCCTTTTTGCATTTATTTCAGTGAGGGTTTGACACCTGCCGAACAGACTGCTGGTTACAACGGATGTCAAGGTAACGTTGCAATGCGCACTTTTATTGTCTTTTGTTTCGTATGGTGTTCGTAACACAACTGGTGTTTTTTTCTTCTGTTGGTAAATTTATATTTATATTGCATTAAGCATTTAATCCTGTGAGCCTGTTTGGTGTTGAGTGCGTGTTAATTGATCTCTCAGAGTAAATATTTAAATGGGCGAGACTTGAGAAGGGTTTCACCAATATGCCCCTAGCTTAGTATTCTTATGCCCAGAAAATAAGATGTTTCTGAAAGATTATAACTCCAGGAAGTGTCCTTATTTCTAGTCCCGGTGAGGGCTGCTTCTGCAGCTAGGAACACCAAACACTATTGAATCAAGGCGTGAAGACTGTAATCGTTTGTTTCGGCAAGGAAAATGTAACAAGAAAGACCACAATAGCGAAAAATGTGTCCTAGTTTCGAGTCCCAGTAAAATTTTGTTTTTCGTATCTCGGAAATTAAACCCAATATAAGAATAGTTCGAAAAGCAAATTGCGTGTTTCGGTTACAATAATACAGAATGAAAGGCCACATCCCGAAAAGAACTGTCCCGGGTTTGATCACCGGCGAGGATGGTACCGGTAACTTGGAAACAAAGAACAAAAGAACAAATACGTAAGACAAAATTTGCTTGTTTCGACTTGAATGTTTCACAAACAAAGATCAACTCTCGGAAAACTGACCAGGGTTTGAGTCCCAGTAAGAATGGTTTTTGTAACTGGTAAGAGATTACAGGAACAAAGTTCTCAAAGCCGTAATACTATCCTGGGTTCGAATTCCCGTGAAAATGTCTTTGTACCTTGGAAAATAATTGCATAACCGTGTGTTTCGTGAAGAGGACTGGCGTGTTTAGGATTGACGTTCGATTTGGAGGGGGGGAGGTATAGTCTTAACGGAGGGAGGCACAAAGTCTTAGGCAGTGTCCTTGCTTCTAAAATCTCATTGTACTAGCGATTGTCATATATTTTGTGAGAGAAAAAACTATTTTTCCAATAACTTACATCAAACACAATTTGGTTTCACATATCGTACAATTAGATGACTGTTTGTCTTTATGTTTCAAGTTTATATTCAATTATAGAGCAAATTTATTTTGTTGCATTGTAGACAGAACGGAGGAAATAGATTTTGTTTCGAATCGATTAGTGATAGCTGCTATTCATATCCGAGGTATAGAAACACGAATTATGCCTGGGGGGAGTTCAACACCTGTTGTATTTCTTTGTAATCCGCCGCGCACGAATGTCGGATCTTTGCTTCGTAGCCTAGTAACGGACTTCTAAAGCTTCTTTCTTATTATTGGATCTTGTCACGTAATGAAGTGATCAGACCGGAATTTTTTCTCTTATATAACAACCCTTATTCTAGCGCCGAAAGAAATAGTTCTTAATTTCGTCTTAAGTTTATTTTAGTCGGAGACAACATGAGTTTTGCAGTACGTAATAGTCAAAATATAAAAAAAAGATATTACCTCGTAAGCGCACTATTTATGCCTGGGTTATTTAACGCGATAATATTTAACCTATTGAATGTTAACAACAATTATTTTGGCCTAATGTCACATAAATTTATGCATAAAATATTATAAGGCATGGAATAATATTTTACATGTTTTATACGTTTGTGAAGCCTTGAACGTGTTATAGGAGAAAACATATGTTCACGGTGTTTGGGAACAAAACACAGAGGAAAATACTAGGGACAAGGAATGGATAAGAAACAGAGGAATAAAGTCAGAATATAATAAGAAAGTTCATAATGTTTATTCTTCAAGTATTCCCAGTATGAAATTGTCGGGGTATACACTATGTGTCTGTGGAAGACCTGAGAGGAAGATCCCGTTTGTAAGACGTAGTGAAAGGATGATATCAAAATGGGACTTGTGTAAATCGGACGATTCATTCAAGAAGCTTAGGATAAGTTCCAGAACTGGGATTTTGTTAATACTGTAATGGATTTTCGGTTTCAAGAAAAATAAGGATGTGCTCAGCAGCGTTGTGGTTTCAAAAAATCTGTACTCCAGGGACATTCTTAATATTAAAACATTTTTTCGTTCTTCCATGTGGTAAATATCTAGCACATCAGTGTAAAATGGTTTTAGTGTTAACTTCGGAGTCCCGGTACATAATAATTTTCAGAAAGCGTTAGTTACCATTAGGTTTTAATTATTATTGTTGTTATGATTATTATTTCATGTTATCTTCTAATGTTTACGTGGATTAAGCTCTTTGCTGTCTTAAGTAATAAATTGTTTGGGCAACTTCCAAGGTTCCTTGGCCGGTGGCTCAAATCATACGTACGTACGTTCAGACTACGATTTGTGTCTCAAACAAGACTCAAACCCTGATGTCTGATCTGTTGTATCCATTGCTACTGTGAGGATTATCCTAGAGCGGAGAGCAGAATTAAAACTTGTTTTATTGTCTTTCTAATTCTAATTTATTTAACGAAACTGTTAGTAGCTTAGACTATACGGTATTGAATAATATTATGATTAATTAATAATGAATCTGAAAGGACGTGGAAGGAAGTGGTCGTTGTCCAGCTTGAAGGTATATTTTAGCATTTGCCTCGAGAGAAATTCCAGTCAGGACAGCCGGTCTCTGGGAGAGATAACTACTCGAACACGATGATAAATTTCTTATGTTTTATTTTGTAAATTTAAAAATATTATTTAAATTACGAATATTTCTGGTTATTATTTCGTTTACAGGCCAGAATAACTTATCAGAAATCGGCAACCGAAATTATTATTCAATAACATATTCAGTATTGTTGTTTTACTGAACGTGAAACTTTATTCGATATTTTAGAACGAATTCTCTGTTCTGTTGGGTCCGATCATACCCAGCATAACACGTAATATTATCCAAACCTTTGAGCAGAGACATCTCCTGAAATGTAGTGTGTTCGGTTTCGAATTTTGAACGATAGATCAAGTCGATAAGAACAGAAATTTTATATGTAAAGCACCATTGATAGATCCTTTTAGATTTTGTTTAATTATATAGTTTTAAATTAATTACAGGCGTCAACAATATATCCAGTTATCTGAAACAATACCGGGAAACTCGTTACTAATTTGTTAAATTTACCCTATGACATGTCATCGGCACTTTAATCAGGTTCTGTGAAGAGACTATAAACAATACTTTCTACGCCTTAGAATGGATTTGATTATTTTTGCCATCACCTTGACTACGTTTCAAGTATACTCGAATGTACTTCATTCCATAATCGTATTGGTAATACGAAACTGACGAGACTTTCTGTGTTTCTGTGTATAACTTGTACAATAAAGAAGTCGTTTTGCTCACACTTTGTACCATTGGCAGGCCTGATGAAAGAGCGAAGTGCCGAGGGGGAGGACGAGGGTTGTGTTACATGTTGCCTGATCACGTCCCGACATTACTCTTACACCATTTCTTTTTTCCCTGTTTTTGCTAAGGAACGCAGATGCTCCATTAGAGAGTAGGCGACTCTCATAAACAAGTTGCGATGTTGTAGTGATTTTTGGAGTATAAGCGAAAAATTACATGAACAGATTCTTTGTTTCACGTTTTGAGGTCTGTTTTGTTTTCCGAACAGGACGATATTTCGTCCCGTTGTCCAGCTAGGAACTTTAATAATATTGGCACTACCTTACGAATTTTCGTTAAATGCGGTATGAAGACCCTCATTCTTAATACCAAACTAATTGTCTTAAATAATATAAACACAGATGTTTATCTAAAGGCTGGTAATAATCACAGCGTTATCCTATACAGGATATCTAAGTTTTGTATGGAGACATGTTTAATATGTCTTCAATGTCTAATTACTGAGTGAAAAATAAATTTAAACTATATATATTTTCTTGTGAAATGGCTGATGAATAGTAATTATTAGACATGTATATAACTTACAATGAATTTTCAGCATAGCTCAATCAGTGAATTTTCTGTTTACCGGATGGTTGTAATATTCTCCAAGGAATAGGATTATTAGGGAGAACGAAAATGAATTATTACGAAACGTGAAGTTACTGTTCATTTGAAAGTTTATAACCTAGATTTAAGTAATTATTGGAATACCTCAGCAATGTGTTGCTTGGTACACCTACGAAATATTTGTCTCATTCAGGAGGTCTGTCTTCCCATAGTCTATTCGAGATGAGAATGAAACTATAATGGTATGTCGCCTAACATTATTAAGCACATTAAAATCTCCCAAGATGTTAAAAGTTTCTGGTTACTCAGTAAGTACAGAAACTGACTTAATTTGCATGAACGTTTATGTTCTGCTCCTGCCACTTACCAAGTGTCTCTTTCTAACATTTTGATCATAAACTGGCCTGGGGCCAGTAAGAAATATAATCTGATAAACTTCGCATTCTTAAAATCGGAGGGAACATACGATGTATGTTTATTGGTTTGATAGAATTACATTACTCAGAGAAAATTAGTGGTTCTTCCCTTGTGAAACAAACTAATGTCGCAGTAGTTTTAATTTTTTTATAATTCACGCTTTCATTTATTGATATAAATTATGCATGAACATTTATTTGAAAATTATGGTAGGAGCAGAATGTAGGATATATTATGTACGTAAATATACGTTCAGAATGTGTTTAGGTACGTTCTTCGTCTTTGAGATACAAATATATAATATTCAGAGGATTTCAATTGAAAAGAAATTATAGTAATACGATGATTAAATTTATTGCAGATTCCAGGAGCCTGGCAAATTTTGTATCACGTTAAAATACATAAACATAATTGAGCCTTATGAAGGGAAGGAACAGAAGTTGTTAAATAGTTGCGCAAAACCCACGTCGTGTAACATTGTCTTTGATGTAATGGTTTGAGATCAGTTCTTACAAGACGTTTGATCATTAGGTCTATACCTTGTATTGGAGAAATGTAGTAATGGCGCTTAGGTACGGTTCGCTGAAGACAATATTGCCCATGGGAGGCCTGCGCCTGTAATCCTGTTTTATCTCTACGCTTTGCTTTATTTT